TTTCAATTTTGATATTTCTTTCTGTTTTTGTTTTCAGTAAGAAAAATTTATTGCCTAACCGGTTTACTTTCATTACGGTAGGAATAAGTACATGCAAAGTGTCGGTATGTTTAATGCTAATACCTTAATGACCGTTGAATTTTTTTCCTAAACTATTGGTGGCAATATTAAAACTTATGAACATTGATAATCTTTGGTCTGAAATATATTCATTTGAAAATTTTGTACGCATTTTAATTCATTTCAATATTTCTTTAGAGTGACTATATAATTGCATAATTCATTGCATTTCTTTCACTGTATATAGTTTTCTTTCATTTGCATAGCTTTCTAAAAACGTCGAAAGACTTTTCAAGTCATTAACGTGTCAATTTCAATTGCAAACGAAAATACTTTTAACAAAAATGTTTGTCAATATGCATGTTAAACAACGGAAAACTACAAACTTAGTACTACTTAACAATTCAACATAGCTTATTGAAATGACGAAAATCGAAGGGAAATCATTTAAAAATATCTTTTAATGATAACGAAGAAATTGCAACAACAAATCCAACATGAAATTATTGTGAAAAAATCAGCTCTTGTACTTCTTTGTTTACTATTTTAAGAAATCTGTAAGTTAGTTCTTTCAGGCAGACCGTAAACATTTCAGACGTTATTTATTTTTAACAGTGAAAATATTTACAAACGCTATTCAGTTATATTAAACTGTTCTTAAAAGGAAAAGAAAAATTGTTCAAATATCCTGTCGGCAGTGTAGATGGAAATGAACATGAACGACAGGATTCTTAACGCTCAGCGCTTGGACATTTTTTCGATTAAATACTTATTCCTCTTTTATCGAAACACGAACAGCTTCCGATTTAGAAATCAACGCAACGAACCCTATCTCGCTGAATTTCACAACTTACATTCACGATTACAATCCTTATTTTTCCTGATTTTTATTTCTGTACTACTTGCTCCCTTTATTTACTTGTTACTGTAATTTAACGCTTTAACGATTCTGTATTTTATTGCAAAATGTATATCTGACTTCAGAAATTTATACAAGATCGAATATTCACGCACAACTGCGACGAAATTAAATTGAAAGATATTTTCCTCCTCTTAACGAAGCTTTCAGGAAATTAAAAACGGAGTGAAGTTGCATCAGATTCTATCAAATGTTACATTTTATACTTTTTCCGCGATTTCCATACGTTAAAATGCATGAAGTTGATATTTACGTTTTCATATTTTCTGAAAACTCTCGTATAGGGGATCTACACAAATAAACGTAGTTTTATAAAACAATTACTACATTAATATTCACGTTATTATATTATTAAAAAATATTCCTCGCGAAACGCACAATATTAAAACTGAACATTTTTATTCATCAGGTAGGTTTGAGAGCAATGAAATCACGTTTCCGTGGCATCAACTGCCAAACAAAAACCATCGAATCCAAAACCTCGATGCATCTCGAATAAAATCGAACTAATAAATTGGAAAATTCGCAGTAAACGATACAACGCAGACTAAAAAACCAAAATTAGAATTCCTTTCTGAAGTAATTCGTTCCAAAAAAATAAAATTCTGAACCAATTTCTCAACATAAATTTGAAATGAACGATCATAATTCATAAGCGCTTAATTACAACATCTACCAGATTGTGTTCTACCTTTTCGAAGGAACGAAATAAAATGAGAACAATCGTCACGCAATAATAAACGCAGAAAATATCGAAGATTACATCGATATCCCAGCGATTAATATCGCTGAAAGAATTCTCTTTCAGCAGTGCTCCTATTTCGAATATCCATCAACCGCCCACGCGTATTTCCGACGCGAACGACAAAGCGTGAGAGGAGGAAAGAGAAATACAGAGCCTGTCCCATTCAGTATGCCTCGTTATCGGAAAATCCGCGTGCCGTGCCACGATGAATTTGTTCAATCGTCCGGCGACACGCGGCGCGATTCCAACAAGCGGACTCACATAAATTTCCCGGGAAAACTCGCGGCGCGAATACGTTTTACTGTCGGAAGTATCGCGGCGCAGTTTACGCGACCGACAACAGTCGATATTAGCATCGCGAGTCGAGGAAGGCTCGTCTCGCACGACGATACAGTCGGAAGACGCACTTGTGTACTAATCAGCATACCGACGGTCACAGTACTATTAATCAAGGATTTTTAGAAGCGAGATGACTTGCCGCTCTATGAAGATTTTTCCGATTAACCATTTGCGAACGAAGATTCTTTGGAATATGCAAAACCTTCAGCAGATGAAGCTGAATTATATATCAATTCTAATGTAAAAATTATAACGCCAAACAGTTAATAATTATTTCTACTTATCTTTGCTACGAAAGAATCAGCATTATATACAACGCTCGAGATTTCCGTGGCGCTTAATGTGTTAAACAATAGAAGAAAAAGGAAACTACATGCTGATCTCTTGCTGTTCGAATAATTAAATCATCTGTTTACGACTTAGTCTTCCAAATACAAAAAATTTGATCTCGCCGAAATGTCGACATTCGTCTGCAAAGAGTTAAGGGGCGACTTAAATGGATGAAAAGAAATCAACTTTTTTCTTTCTTAAGCTTCTTGGAGCATCAAGTATATAGAGCATATTAGTAAAAGGTTCATAATTAAAATTTAGCACATGAATATTAACGCACTGACTGCCATGAGAATCTTGTGTATTTTATATATCACTTGTTCTTTCGCAACAAAGATATATGGTATTAAAAACAATTACTAATTATTGGATATCGCAGTTCTTACGTTACACTATTATCCGGTTATTTACATTACTGAACATTTTATCCGACATTAATCGTCCTATTATAATTGTCTTCGAGTTAATCGATCATCTATAACCACTATGACTCGATATTTCCTTTTGACACATACATACGTATTTTATTAGCTTCTGATATAATTATTCGTAATGTCACAGGTCTGTTATTCAGAAATTTACATTAAAACATTTTTTATACTTACGTATTATATAGACTACCTTTGTTTTCAAAAAATAAAATACTGATAATAATAGTAATAACAATAATAATAATAATAAAAATTAAAAAATATTAACTCCTTGGCCTACAATATCGTGTCAGGCTCGTGAATTAGATATTACTTTTCTATCATCAATCCTTAACGTTTGAAGTAAATGTAGACGTAGAACAAGCATACAAATTGTTTCTGTTTCTAATAAACAATTAACAATGAAATAGTTGTATCGATCATAGTGATGAAATAAATCATTGACAAGGAGATAATAATCCGCTATAATATTAAATAAACACTAATCCAGATCTAACCCCAGATCAGCGTGATCTTCAGTTAAAAATCAAAGGTGCTCCTTATAATACGTAAGGACCAAATTACCAAAATTATATAAATTACCAAACAGTAAGTACCAAATTTTCATCAGAAATTTGATACGATGTTACAAGAAAAAGGATTAACACGTTGACTGCCACGAGACTTCCGAGCGTTTTGTGTGGTAATACTTAATAATATTAAATTACTAAAAATAATTTGGAAGCTCCGGTTATCGGTGACACCGTCACAGTCAACGTGTTAACATGAAAGGTCGCGCTGTCATTAGGGATGACGAAAGAATACAAGTGAAGATTCAGCTGACTTCAGCTTGCAATATCGCAGTGACGTTCAGGAATCAGAGAAAACTGAACGAACGATGAGGAGGGAGAGTGAGTGAAATCGAGGTAGGGGGCAGGAGAACGTAAACAACGATGCTCGGTATTGACGTGGCCGGCGTCGTTGCCGATAAAATTCCGTCCGGCAATTATCGGGCCTGCTCGCCGCGCGCGGCAGATTAAGTTTCGATTGTCGAGCGAGCGCCGATGCCACGGGCCACGTTCATCGCTATGGCGACTATCGCCGCATGCGCTCGCCCACCCTCTCCGAGCGACGTGTTCGCCGCACGGCCGCGGAACGAACTTCCTGCCGGCGAATATGCAAGGTCGCGCGTTTGACCCAGAAAAACAATGCCGAATTGCGGCAACGCGCGCCGGTCTCGTGCCGCATTCCGACGACTTTCCATTTTACCGTCGCGTTAATCGCGCGCGATCTACCCCCGTCGCCGACTTGGAAATCGGTTGGAGTTTGGCAGAGTTTGGCGAAGTTCGGTAGAGTCGGGGAACTACGGTTCGAACAGGCGAAAGTTTAGAGTATGTAGAAAGTGGGAAGTATAGAGGACGGTATTGAAGATTCGTGGATCAATATCGTGAGGATTGCTGAGGTTTGATTTAGATCCGGTAGGAAACGTGTATTCAGATTGTTCGAAGGTCAGAGGGACTGGGATGGAATGAATGCAGCCTGTGTAGAAAGGATTATAATGAATTTAAGGATCGTGGCTGCTGTGGTGACCCAAGATACAACAAAGTGCATTTGAATTATTTAAAGCGGTAGGGGAATTAATTTGAGCATGAGTGTAGACATAAATGACAGTCAGGGATTTATTATTATATGAATATACATATGAAAATATTAAATTGATAATAAACATGTAATGTTGTTTTGTATAGGAAGGCATAAACTGCCATAAGAATGAATGAAGAGAGAATAACATTTCTCCAATCTCTTAACACGAAATACGGGAAACTCGTGAATCTCCCAAACACAAATCAACAAGCATCAAAATAATCCACATTCGAAACGCATTACAATTTTCCTGCTACAGATACTCAACGAGCACACCAACCGTAATTTCACGGTGTAAACGTGATTCCATTCTCTTCCAGGAAACCAACAATAAAAGAATTCCAGTGAACTATAAACCAAATCCTAAAACAATGAGAAACTAATAAAAGTACCAATGAAACAATTTGCCCACGTAACTGCCCAACCAGGATCATCTCCATCGATCAAAGATCCAGATTCCAAAAAGTGAATCCCATACTCTAAACCGCATATCAACAAAATCCAAAAAACACCAACAGACCTCCAACAACCCAATCCCACATGTCTAACGTACCTGCGACAGAAAGCAGAAGAATGCACGTTGCACGCGAAAGTGACACGTGAGTCCGTTTCCGTGTCGAGCGCAGGGGCCGAAGTGTCGTGGTGCCAAGGCGAGCCTGGTGCGTCGATACGCGCACGTGGAATGGTGACGGCGGCCTCGAGCTTGCGACGTGTATGCAGTTGATGCACAACGCACAGTGACAGAGAAGGAAAAGAGAGGGGGAATAGAATGCACAGATGCGTGCACGGGAGCACCGTCAGCACGCGCGCGCGTCCTACCTCAACCACGTCTGACACGCGAATGAGCACCCGCGAAGAGCGATGTCGCGAGGCGGGAGCCGCACCAAAGGGGAGGAAGCCTAGAGAACGCGCAACAGACGCGCCGGAGACCGCTCGACTCCGTTCGGCTCTCTATAGTCTAAACGTGATTCGCCGTTTCCCTTCGCCGCGGGCAGCCGATTGGTCCACAGGTCCGGCGACGTGTACCAAGCGATATCCAGACCAGACCGGCCGGCCGGGTTGGCCAGCCCAGGTTTTGCCTCTCGCGTGATCGGGCATCACGACAGCTGACGCCGAATAAGAACGATAAGCGATAACGGTATCGAAGAAAACTAGTTTCGCGGCCACGGACTCCGATCCTCTCGGAGTGCTCCTGGAGAGGGTCATATCTGCTGGGAGATTGGTGATCGATGAATGAAGACGTGTGTAGGGTTTGATATGTTTGTCACGTAGAATGCCACTCGATGTCAGAGCAAAACACACAACATGGAAAAAATATAATGTTAAACTATTTGATTAAATTGTTTTATTATTATGCACGTTCATCTAGCTGAATGTCACCGTACTGAGTAGCATTATTTAAAATATAGAAATGTTTTCAAATAATCATCGTTTCATTGAGTGAACTATAATAACTCGATTTGGTTGTGGGTCATCGGTAACCTTCATGGTATTCAACGTGTTATAGGATACGGATGGGTTTGGTTAATCGGTTGAAAGTGGTGATTGGATACGAAGAGTGAGATGGTCGATGTGATTTGCGAGATTGGAATTTGGGTAACCTCCTGAGTGAGAAATTTTCATACATATTCGAGAAATGCTAGACAGTTTTAAACAAAGATGAATGATTACAAACTATAGTTCATATTTCGATCAATTTCGATCTGAAGTTCATACGATTTTTATATAATATTGAAAACATGTTAGACTTCTTTTATTAGTAATAAAATCGAGAAGGAAGTTTTCGTAAGTGTGTGAAGAAGCAATGTATCATTTCTTGGCACTTAAAGGGTTAAGGTATTGGTGGAGACTGTTGAAGGGTTTGTATGTTGATTAAGAATTAGGTGTTTGTGGTAGATGACACTGGGTAGCAGTTGGTAGAATCAAAATGGTAATGGAGATATGTGTGTAATCTTCTTAGCGAAATGTTCGTTGAGATTAATGTTTCTAGGTAATTCTTATTTTCAAAATATGTTTTAATTTCAATTTCATTAATTCGTAGTAGAAGTATTCAATTATATTTGCACACCGCCTCAAACTCTTTTTGAGAAATTATAATTATCTTAACATCTAAAGATTATTTCAGCATGAAATAATGTATTTAGTTGTTCCAATGTTTGAAGAAAACATATTTGAAATGTTACAAATACGTTGCATTAAAATTGTCGCAGCAAATATAGTGAGAAGAAATGTTTAAAATTAGATATAGACCACTCACAAGAAGAACAGAAAAACATGAAATTGTTAGTGTGCAAACATTTATGGACTTATATTCGTTAAATATTTAAAACGCATTCCAACGATTTTATACGATATAATTACATTACAAATAAACCAAGAGTAAATCAATACAATATGCAGCAGTTCCAATAAAATTAAGGATTTCCCTCGACACAGAACTAGACCACTCTATTAATGTATAAAATAAGATCTCCGGATTCGAGTCGTGGTATAAATATATCTCCTAATCCAAGGATGGCAGACCCAAATACACCCCGAATTGAATGAGTAAATTTGGACTGACACTTGTAAAAATCCTCATAAAGCAATCCTCGGATTAGCGAATTCGAGTAACCACTATTCGAGCACTGTAAGATAGAGATCTGGACAATTGTCGGGCGATGGTGTTTTCGATGGCCTGAATACTCGTGTTTCCATAACAATCCCGGGAACAGTCGCGGTCCCATCGATCATGACGAACCCCGGTGAAAAAGATCGACGCGAAAGAAAAGCTATTTCGGAATAAGAGAGTCCGGTGTAACGGGAAATCGCGTACCGGGCGTCCGACAGCGGTTTTTTGCCAATCAGCTGGAAACCGCAAATAATTCGTTCGCGGAGAAACGACGTCCGATCGAAACTGCGGCGGAAATAGGCCTCGCCGTGACCGCGGATCGCAATTAACCCGGAGCACGCCGAGCTGCGATAGCCAACAAGACCAGTCCCCGGCTATCTTGTTATAGATTAAGCGGGGAACTACTGCGTGACCATGGCGGAAAGCGTGCCGGCCATAACGACCAATGAGTCGGAAACACTGACTCCATGAACCAATACGACCACGATGAAAACGGAAACAATCCACGACCATCGTGGTTCTTTCCACTTTCAATGTGGACAAAATACGAATGTGAGTCATTCGGTTGCTAAAGTATGTAATTAACTTTGTAAAAGGGAAAGTCAGGGAATTTAATGAAATCGTGGATTATAATTGGATTGAGATGACACGCGGAACTGAATTGTACAATATTCCATGCACCAATTGAATCTCGCGTTTGATTTGATTGAAAATATTGCTCGGCTCTTCGTTATTTTCATGTTATCGATATATTACCCTGATTTTCCTCGTGTTATCTTGCTTCGTAATTCTATTATTTCCTTCGTGTCGTTTTCCTTATGTACCGTAATATTTTACGCTGCTCGGTTTCTTTTGGCTTTTAATGTGGACAAGGAAACATGAGCCATTCGTTTGTTAAAATAATTAACTGTATGAAGGCGAGAGTAAAGGAGTTTAATGAGGCCGTATACATTGTAATTAGGTTCAGATTACATGAAAAATTAAATTGTACGATATTCTATGCAGCAATTGAACTTCACCTTCGATTTGATTAAAATTATGCTGCAATTCATCGCTGTTTTTATTTCAGCAGCGTCATCTGCATTTTTCTCGTGTTATCTTAGTCTGTAACTGTTTTTTGTTCCTTGTTTTCGTCTGCATCGTATTATTATACATTAGTGACTTTTTATTTATATTCTCTTTGTAAGAGAATGGGCTCCACCTCGCGGATAAATAAAGAGATGAATAAATAAAATACACGCGAACGAAATTAAGTGTTTCAACAGTATGAAAACATTAGAAAAATGGAGTTAGTCCTTGTGGTCTCTAAACGAGACACGTAACAATGACAATCGAAAGCACAGTAAGCGACGTAGAAAATTTCATAAAAGCACGGCTCGTTTCATTTTATTAGATCGTTGAACAATTACCTTCTCCGGTTTCGTTAATTGAATTTAATTATGTTTAATTAAACAAAAGTAACAAAAAAACTCAACTTCGAATTTTTCGTTCGAAACGAATGTAATTAAAATGAGTATTGCTCTCGTTAATTCAATACGAAACGAGTTATAAAAGAACTGCGTTTGTTTCGCCGGTGGATGAATATTTCATTTCTTGGCTCGGAATAGGATCAAATAAATTATGGTAATTTGAATAGATTGGGGATCTGCGAACGTTCCCGGCGAAAACCAACGAATACCACGTACGTGTAAATAACGATTCGATTTACTTGATCAATTTTACTATATTATTACGCCTGGCTAAAATATAATTAGATATCGTCTGTGCTGATTTTCAAAACTGGAGCCTAATTAAACTTCACGCTCGTTTCTAGTCGCGAGCGGAGTAAATTATTTCAAGCTGCCGCGGTCGGAGCATAAATTGCACAGCATATATTACGTTAACGAAGTCAGATTTTCAAAGCGATTGAATAATTGTAGTCTACCGCCGCTCCACTTCGCACTCGCAGAACGTCTATTATTAGTGCGACTGTGTCTCTGTATCGAGGTTGAAGTTTTATCAACCAGGATTTTCTTGTTTACATATGATCTGTCCCCGTGAAAATTGCAGCCTTACCACGACGAAACTTTCTTTTTCCTGGGGAAACGGGCTCACGTAATAAAACAGGGGAGTGAAGATAACCTTACGCGAGATCGCGGCGACTAAATGAAAAATTTTTTATCGCGGTACCGTGCCGATATCGAGGTCGTTCGTTGCCGCCGCCGCCGTCGATATCAGCGCCCGCATCGAATTATCGACGTAACAATTAAAGTGCAATACGTTATGTTCCCAAAACGATCCTCTGATGCCAGCGAGACGCGAAAGAAAGATAATAAGAAAATACGAGAAAAATGCTGCTTACTGCTCGGAACGGAATGAGAGCTGAGACTTTCGAGCTGAAATGAACTGAGATTCGATTCGATGAAACAGATTTTATGATCGGCGACCGCAGTTCTGTTTCGTTTACAGTGCTGGAACTAGTGGACTACTACGAATTCACTGGATTATGTTCTCTCGTAGATACAAATTAGAAGAGTGTATTTATAGAGATATCGATTCATTTATATTTTAGTTTGCGTGTTATTCAATCGATTTAGTTAATAATTTATCGAAAAAAGGATGTGTATATAGGAAGCGTATATCTTGAATATTTATAAAAGAAGAACCTCGAAATGGGTCGTTTTGACCCGACTATTAGTTCTAGTGACAATTAATTAATAAAAGTGGTGTTATTAATCAAATTTATCATACATTGTCGTTACTAGTGGATGCACCGTTTGATTGACTTTTAAAGCACGCATTATTAAATCAATTTATTTAATGTATTTCCAGAAAGATACCTATATTATCTTCATAATTATAAAAGAGTACATTTAACAAATAATTCAAATAATTTAATACTAAATATACCGTGACTAGTCAAATGTCTGGTTTTAAAATTTGAATTAAAATTCTGCATTTTCTTCCGTTCATTTAACTTTATATCTATTCTTATATTGTCCAATTACCCAATTTCTTAATTTTTGCCTTTCCTTTTGTTTCTGTCCTCACTAAGAAACATTTATCGTCTAACTTGTTTACCTTTATTTTATAATAAATTACTTGACTGGTAACGGTAGGTATGCGTAATGTGCCGATACCTTTAGTGTTAACTTCTTCCCTTATAATAACGTGTCAGACTCGTGATGAATAGTTTAGAATGAATTCGACAAATCTAAATGTCATTTATTTATTTTTAACAGAAATTAAATGTTACTTGCCTATTATGAACCTTTAACATTTGTAGTAAATGTAGTCACAGAATAAGTATAACATTCTCTTCTTTTTCTACTAAATTATTAACGGTAAAGTTGTTTTATCTAGTACAGTTGGGAAATAAATTATTGGACAAGGGGTTAATATTTCCAGTGTCAATACTTTCGCAACAAAAGTAAAAGAATTTTCTCACAAAAAGCAATACCAAAAATCGATTTAAAAAGAACATATTGCCATCAAGAAAACGAATCCGATCGCATATTCCACGCATCTTCGACCCGATCCGAAAAATATATCAGAAGTAATATTCCCATGGGTATTCCGGAGGCAGCAGCCGGTTATTTACGCGAGGGCTTACAAACCGAGCGTGGACTACGTGGCTGGCGAGGATTTACATGAGAAATTTCACTATTTCCACCCCATACCGTGTTTTACGTTCTCCCTTCCACTTTTTCTCCCTTTCCTGCCGTTCATCGAATACGTTTCGCGTCTCGAAGCTTGATTTAGTTTACGTCGAATCGAACCGTGAATGTACCGTTCCCGTGATAATCAGCTCGATCCCACAATTTCACAGTGTAATGCGATTATCGCGTCATCTCGTTTGCGTCACACGTCACCGATGTCATGTAAATGAACATGCCGGACAGCAGTCGATTTCCGGATAAAATGGTACAAAAATACAGAAAATTTGTTTTAAAAATTGAAAATTCTTATGTAATTTCATTTATCATGGTCTGATACATATAGCTGATACGGCTGCTTTTTATTTAATCTTATTTATAATCAAAAACATTTTCAAATTTCTCAATTGTTCGAATGTTAACATTTAGGCATCCGGCAATTCGAGTGTATGAAATGTGCCAAATTTTGAGTGGCATCATTTAAAAATAATATCCATAAATTAATTCAGTTCTGATACGTAGAATACAAATCGATTTAAAATGTGTACATGATATTGTAGTTATTACATTAATACATTTTATTTTATAATTTGTAAATTAAGTCGTAATTTGTTACAGGTTACAACAAAGATTATATCTTAATGATTGACATGGTTCCGGTCGTTATAGTCAAGGGAACCAAAAAAAGGGATGCGAATTCACCACTGTTAGTATTTATAGTATATTTTATGATTCACTAAGAAAAAGTAATTTTTCGAGTAGTATTGATTTTTGTCTCACTTTTGTAATTGATCGATCACTGTGCGTCGTGTCGCTGGATTGTCACCGATAACCTCAGCTGGATAAGCATCATCCACGCAAATGCAGAATCGAATAATACAAACTCGGACCTATACGGGCCTGCTACGATAATGTCTGTAACGTAAACAGACGGTTTATCGATCGATAGTTGATATCGTTATGGCCCGGACTGTACGGTGCTCCGCAGTCAGCGTCGCAACGGTGACAATGCGTTATTCCGCGATGCACGTGGGCCCGTTTCAAATTGGCGAGGTCGAATGGCGGCTGGGCAATTGGAAGACGCATAGAAAGAAGTCAACGACCCGGGAATATACAGAGTGTTGTGCAATTTTGTGTGGCGAAACGAGAGGAAAACGTACGAGGTAAAATTTTGTCGTTCGACGCATCGATTTGCGGGGAATCGGAATTAACCCTTTGGTCTCGAATGGTGACTTTCACTCGACATATGATTCTATGTATTAAAATTACAAAATTAGATATTTAATATCATATTTTGTATAGTGCATTGGTACACGAAACGTTCAAACAGAACAATTCTGTTCTTTAATTTACTTTCATTTGTGTTATCTTTTTTAAAATATTAGTAATATTTTGTTAGAAATTGATGCTTATTTACTGTGTGAAAATTTATCGAGCGGAGAAGAGTAAAACTGAAAAACGAAAAATAAGAGAAATATGTAAAAGAACAGATAAAAAGTACCAAACATAATATTAAAAAGCTTAATTTCTTGGGAACTGGAGAATACGTCATTTTATAACTTTAGAAAAAACCTATTTCAACCTCTTCGCTTGATCTTGAAGCTCAGTACAAAATTTACTAAGTGAAACCAATGTCTCATAGAGCTACCGTTCCATAAAAAGTGTTTTCATATCTTGATTCGAGTCCTAAATCACGATATTTTCAAAAGAATCATCTCAAATGAACAAGTTTTGTTCAATATTCCCGACTTACCAACTTAGCACCTTGTATAAAGTCTCGCCGACCAAAGGCCCGGACAGAGAGCAAACAATTACATTAATATAATTACTGGTTCGAATCCAGCCAGCCGGCGCTAATAAAATTCCTGACGACCGCGGTAAACAAACGTTGGTAGACGCCCAATCAAAATACGCTTGCTGGTGGATCCACGCGGAGGATGGAGATCACGGGGGGAGAAAAAGAAAACGGTCGGAAAGAGATTCAATTAGGTCTTTAATGGAGGCTGTGTACAGGACACTTATAGCCACTTGCGGTCGCTGGACCGAGGCTACAAGCTCGGTATGACCTGACCAGGATTCCCGCGAGCATCCCCTCTTTCCGTCCTCACCCTTCGTGACACTCGACGTGGCAAACTTTGGGCAGTACTCCAAGATACCGCAGAAATCGCGTACCATGTTAGAAATTTAGGGCAGTCTGAACTTGGCTCGACGCGAGCACCGACTAAATTCCGCTGGACATGCACGTGACCCAGACTGATCTAGAATTCGTGCAGTTTCTTCGCCACTTTTCACCGTTTCATGCTAATTATCGCGCAATTGTGGGAAAGAAATATAATGTAATGGTTTCTGTTGTAACAATAGTTATAATGATGTTATAACTATTTAATTATTGTTAATGGGGATTATAATAATCTAACCCGATGACCATTTAATTAATTGATCAATCGTAAAGTAATATTATAATAATTGATTAAATAAATAGTTATAAGAATAATATTAAGAATAATTGTCTATTATTAATTCCAGTAACTGATAATCATCTAACTATTATTAATTAATTATCAATACATAATAATATAATTCTGTACTACATGCGGAAGCCTATTAATAGGCTTCTCAATAACTATGCTATACTAGCGCATCACGGATGAATGACGAGGTATGTTGCGCTTAGCGTTTTAAAAAGTAGTTCGGAAAAAAAGCTTGCAGTGTTTAGAGTATAACTAAAAGTAACTACGGTAATTTTTCGAAATTTGGTTCAATATTTACCGAACGTAAATGTATTGTGATAATAAATTATGCAAGAAGGATATTCAAATTTTTCAACCCAGTAAACGAGACATCCATGTTAATGATTTGGCGAGTAATAATCCTAAGAGGAATAATTAGATTAGCTTGAAATTGGTTCAGGATTGTAATTACTGTAGCTGTTAAATGATTTATTAAAAAATCTTTACGTGGTAATTATTCATTTCTAAGACCATTAAATAACCGTCAGTAAATAAAATGTTCGAATAAAAATCTTCTTGATTACTTTCCGTAATATTTCATACACAGACCTGTAAGAGTAACCAAGGTATGCACTTCTCTGGAAGACTGTCAATCGCGCATGTTTCATCTTTAATCAAGTTTACGCATTAGTGGGATATAATTAAATTTAAAAAAATACCAGTGATTAAACTAAAACTGCTGATTACATTCAAACTCGACGAACGGTATACAAGATGTCTTAATGCTTTACTCGCTGGAAACTAATTAGAAATCTGTCAGTGATTCTGTTATATCCAAAACAAGCTAAATTATTTTCTCCTTGAATAATGATCTCAGAAGAAATTACTAATTTACATTACTCGAGGTGACTAGTTAGTTGTAATTCAGATTAGTATTAAAAACTTGATTGAAATATCCTTAGCTATTGATTATTGACTTTTTAAAGATTTTTAAATAATCGATAACTCAATTCTTAGAACAGATTTGCAAAGTGAATAATGGAACCGGGTAAGAAGTCACACTACAAGTAAACGTAAATTGAACAAAAAGATAAATACTTCCACTTGAAGCTGCAAACGTGAAAACCTGTTTGAAAGTTAATTAAGCCATTAAGTATTAATTATCGAATAAGAATCAGTTGACGTGTTTACGTATGACTTGCCATTTCTACTAGTTCATATTACCAATGCAAAACATTTTAATGATTCCTGTGTTCTTTTAACCTCTTGCCTTATCTATTTATTATGTAGCGATGACATTTGTCAGCGTGATTCTATCGTTAATAATTTTCTAAACTGAAAAAGAATCGGATAGAGTAAAAAAATTTAATCTAATTATTCCTCCGACATTTAGGGACTTTCTATTTTTACTTTAAAAGTGAGGATTAAAATATATACGAACTTTCTGTAAATGGACGATAAATTTATTTTTAGGAAAGCACAGAATTCATTTCTATTCCGAATATACTTATACCAATCATAGCTTTGAAAATTACCTATAAGAAAAAAATATTGATCATATTCAAATATTAATTCGCCTATAATTGCGCAAAAAATATAAATTTAACCTTTAAATACAGAAGGCTGGAAATGACAGATTAAAATTAAATATTCTCGTTTGTAGCAACTAATGAAAAAATGTATTTTGAATATTTATTTTTACTTGTTTAAATATTTCTACATAGCAATAGTATCAACTATATATCGAAAATTTCACTGATTTCAAAATTCATGATATTTTATATACAAATCTGTGTGACTGCACGACCATACTTAAAAGTTAAAATCCTCGACACGAATTTGGTTCGATATTATAAGATAAGAAGTTAACATTTGAACTATCAGGCAGTCAAAATAACTGATCTCTAATTTCTTATCGCGAATATCCGAGTATGCTTCTCGATATTTCATACACTTTCGATTGAATAACCACGTATATGATTTTTGTCGTGCGTAATAAGAGAAGTCGTAAATAAATAATTTGTCACAGTCTTGTAATTATAATGTTAACGTCACTAATAACGTCAGTGGTGCGATATTCGCGGTTGCAAAAAAAATGAACCGCAACGTGGCTGTAACAACAAAACTCTTTGCTATCTGGTCGATATCGAGCGTCGAGGGGGAGGAAACACGTCCACAGATCGCGTGATCAGTCTTTAATGTTCAACCATGTCTGACTGTCGGGAACGATTACGATAAGTGCGAAGCACGTCACAGAAGCAAAACGATGAAGTAAAGTGATCAAGTTTCACCGACTGCTTCTTCGGTTAGAGCGGCGTTTACAGGATGCCGGTTAAACTCCCCGAGCATAGAACCTGTAATTGCTATGTACGCGGTCGGACGAATTTGTGAAATCGAAGCACGGTCGTATTCGAAGTGCAAACGTTGAGACAGTGAAAAACCAATACACTGAAATCTATCCAGACATGAAACCAGTTTCTGACTATTGCTTTCCTATTGCATCTACTTTTAAATTATAAAACATTTAAAAAACTACCGTTTAAATATACTAGCATATATTTTGCAAGAATAATTTTATTAAACATTGTTGACAGCAATGAAGAAAGTTAATTGAGTTTGTCATTTCATGTTTTCGTTAAAATAGTGTAATATTACTTTGTCTATGAAATTTACCATTAAATATAACTAAAAAGAAGTATATACAGTATTTAAGATGAGTTCGTACTTGAATATTGCCATACAGTTAATTATAATTTAATTATGACAATTGGTAATATCATTTTCCGTATTTAAATCGAAAAAGGAAATTAATTTCTATTAATTTCAAACAAATTTCTAAACACGCATAATGATATATTCAAATATAAGTGTGTATATTAAAAATATATAGTGTAGCTTTTAATATTTTACCATTTTCACGGGCAGACGATATGGAAGTAATTTGTTAAAAAATTTTCTGAAGTAATTACGCTTAAATTTCATTCATTTCATACCTTTGTCTACTCAGAAGAGCAATTTATCTCTCTATGCAATATATTCACGCGGACGCGTCAAATTGCATGTTGAATATTAAAACAGGGAACGAGCGTGACACGCGGGTAATCTCTTTTGTCACGAGCGTGCGTCACTTTTTTGAAAAGCATTTCGAGTAAGTACTTCGATACGAAATGATTACGTTATCGAAGATTATTCTTTCGTTACACATTAATCGATTTTATGAACCGTCCCGACCTTCGAAGAAACGAAAACATATTTCGTCGAAAAATGTAGTCTGTTTCGTTTGTGCGTGCGTCCGGTGCACGCGTATTTGTTGTTTGTGCAATATGGTCGCGCGATCGCGAAACAGTGGTCGTTTTTCAGAATACAGGGAACTGTAATTGCTTTCTCACTGTGTAATTTCGTTCCATCCGGCTGGAACAAAGTGTGCGCTGATTGCTCGAACGAAAGTGCAACGAATTGAAACTGAAAATCGCGGGGACGGTGCGCAATTAGAAAATTATCAATAGGCTGCCTGTTTCCGATTAATATCTGTGAATATGTGCATTCCGAAGGAAGCTATTTTCGAGCAATTATATTCATTTTCACGGGAAAACGTCTCCAACTAATCACAGGACCATTTAATTCATGAATATATCATATTTTCTTTTCACTTTTTAACGCTGGGGACATGTGTCATGAAAATATATACATTTACATACAAATTACATATTTTATTATATTGTAGTATATTACGATATATAATAATAAGATATAATTAATATATAAATGTATTAATTCATACGTAATTTATAATTTAAACTTATTAGTAGATTTTACAGTAACATCCATAATAAATATAAAGTACATCCGTTGTAAAAACACTCGAGTAACCACAGTTTAACAATAAGTGCAATAGCAATAAAAATTTTTGAAATAGTATGAAAACCTTAAAAAAAAATGTGTAATACAGTTATTGTAGGAATACATATTACGCATAAAAACGATAAGGTACCTTATGTCATACTTACCTTATTATTATTTTGCGATGAAAAATGTACTTGGATTGCGAAGCGTCGAAAACCGTTCACTCGTCTCATTCACCGAATTGAATTAATTAAAAATTAAAGTAAACACAGTAACAACGCGTTGGCGGAAGCTGCTTTACATTATTTTGTATATAGAAAATGCACGTACAAACTTTGTCAGATGTATGAAATATGAAGGGATACGGAACAAATAAAATACACACGTTTGTATTTTAAATCTTTTATCTATCACCCGATAAAACTACTTTGTTTTAAAGAATGCGATTGAATCCTAAATTTGATTGCTCAATTTTAATACGCAACACACTATTCTAAAATAGTCGCGCGTCCGCGATAAATGAACATGACTGTTTTCATTAACGAAAATGCGTAAATGTGACAGCGCTATCTAATATCAATAATCCGACTTATCGGTATGCCAAAGATTTTTTCGTGCCAAATTTAACTCGGAATACTACGAGCTCCAGATAAATTAGCAGATTATTTAATACAGCAAACAATCTGGAAAAAAACTATACCCACCGCGTGTATATTTAATTTCGCAATTTGCCGCGGTAAATTTAATTCCCACAAATTTCTTGCGCTGCTAACCGATCTTCAGCGCCACCTATCGGGAGCCGTTGGAAATATCTTGTTAATTAAAATGGTAAATAATAAACTTTAATCGAAAATGATAAGCGTTATCATCGCGAACATAAAATACATTTGGAAATCTTGGAATGCAATTGGTGGCACATATAATTGCTAAAAATAGAACAGGCAATTAACAGAGACGTGCATGAACCTTGCAATTAATTTAATAAATAATCGTTAACGACTTGACGTCATCGTAAACGTTTCATCGGCGATTAAATCATTTATCGAATGGGTTCTTTTGCTGCGTGATAGAACAGTCGGTAATGAAGATCTCTTTAACTTACATGCACAGACTTAGAATGCAGTGGCGTAGCAAGGAGCCGACAATGGCAAAAGCACGTAATTGTTCTTAATTAAACTAAATTGAAGGTTACCAGGGGACAAGTAAATGTGGACCAATCCGCGATATCGTCCTCCTTTTAGCCAATCGTGAGTCTCGGTTTTACCGACGACTACCAATCCCTGAGCGAAACTTATCGGCGCTACGAGCAAGCTATTCGATGTGTCCCAGTTTACGCCAACCGTAATAATTTTTCATTATTATTAACCGTGATAATTTCATTCGGATCCTGACCCTTCCAAACAATTAGAAGTTACCTTTGAAATTTCATAAAATCTTATCTCACACCCTAATGAAGTGTTTCATAAAATTACAATGTAGCTGCAATTTAAAAAATTTGAAATATTTCATACATCTGATACTATCCTACCGCTGCTTTACAACCATCACATAATATAATTAATCACAATTGAATTACATTTAAAATAAAATACCACTTGAATATTAAAGAAGAAAAATGGTAATGAGAACGTATTTTGAAGAGTACTTACCTCTGATGTAGGGACGAAGGCACTAGGTCCATCGAAAACTGGCACTGGCACTGGAAGTCCTCTATCCTGAAAAAGATTAACAATTTTCTTTTTAATATTATTAATTTTGCTGTTAATACGTAATAATAATATGAGAAGTAAGAATTGTTTTTCAACAGCCCGGCTAGCTCAGTCGGTAGAGCATGAGACTCTTAATCTCAGGGTCGCGGGTTCGAGCCCCGCGTTGGGCGCAAATTTTTTTTTAATATTTAAAACGATAATTGAAGTTTACAACTTTCAACCTCAAAACATTAAACAACTGACATAAAACGGCTGCTACCGTTAAGAAAAACAATCATTTATGTAGTAAAATACGTAACTCGTTCCTTAATAGCATTATACGTTTCATATTATGTACTTAAACCCCTATTTATTAGTACTTAACTACAACGGTAGATTAACTATCTAACGATGGCAAAAAAGAGTCTCTAAAAATACGTTCACATCAGTAAAATGAACAGTGAATTTTTTATATCTTAAATATCTCAGATTACTCAATTTCAGACTGATCTACGATTTTCCCTTTTTTATGACACTTTTTGAGGAAATATTTTCCCCGATTTATAACGGCTGATTAATAAACTGAACCTTGAAGCCGCTTTAAACATCGCCGGTATACTGCAGACGTATTTTTAGGCCATGGTACGAACCCGTTCCATAAATAGACAGTTAAAACAACTCCATTAACGTAAGCATTGGTCCTTTCCGATTTATTATGTATGAGAGTACCGCTATCAGCTAGAATCGCGTGTGGCCAGGACACTATTTCCAATCCTTAGAGAAATAAAAATATCATTCCCTCAAAACCACACGGCTACCGTATTCATTTATTACTCCGAGGGTACGTACAGTTCTTCTACTACACCGTTTGCTGTTTCTAAATGGTGACTGTGAATCGTTCACATTAGTGCACGTAAAATGAATGACCAAAAGAAAGAAAGAAGGACCATTCAGAGGACTTGAACCTGTCTTGCATCAAAATTTACATTTATTTCTACCTGCATCTGTACTTTCACAGATAAAATTTACTAAAACTATGATAATGTTTAAAATCGCGTTTTAATGCCCCATTAAAAAGATTACAAAATTAGTCTCAACAAAGTCTCTAAAAATACATCTACAACATTTGTTTATTCTAATACTTTTTCCAACAGAATTTGTGAAATGAATAGAAGCTATTTTAAAGTAATTTTCTATAATAACTTAAATAGCAAACAGATCAATAAAACCGTAATGCATCCTTTTATGCAAACTTAATTCATAGTGCATGTTCTCTAAAACAATTTTAAACCTTAACGAAAGAATGTTACTCGTATGAACCGTGTTGATACCTTCAGTACCTTTTTCAATGTACAATTTTCAACTTTTATAATTTCCATTCGAGTTAATTGTTTACGAACAAATATGTTAAAATATGCATCATACATCCTTCCTTTTTATTGAACAGTATCATTCAATACTAAACCTACAGATAACAGTATAACATAGAAATAGTTCAATAACCAAGGATATTATAAAAAGTCGAAATATGAAGTTAATTAATTCAAAGTACAAGATCTCATATAACATTTAAAAAATATGAATATTTACTTTATACGATACAGAACTGAAATAACTTCATCATATATTTATTGTAGAATTTTACCAGTAAAGACTAGTACAAAAAGAAAACAGAAAATATAGTAAAGATAAACTCATGGTAATACGAGAGATAATCAATGAATTAAATCTAAAAAAAAAGGAACTCACCTTAACCATCTCCAGGATTTCCGCGCACTTAATCCTCACATTCTGGAAGGGACAGTTAACACTGAGCCTCAGTATCACCGGCAGATGCAGGGAAACCAGGCTCAGATACTTGTTTGCCTGAGCCTGCCTAGGCCCGTCTAGAGCGTTCCCTAGATTGAGCATCCTGCCCACGTCTCCCGGGGTAACATCCGGGCTCTCGAGTACTCGGCCGCTCTTGGAAGAGACATCTTCGTCCTGCGAGAGCGGTCTCTTGATTTGTCCTGCGCTGAACTTCCTCTCGTCGGTCTTGCGCAAATAATCTTGCGGCTGTTCCGGGCGCTGGCAACGCTGACGATCGTCTAGAAGTTCCTCTTCACAAGGATACACCTCGAAGTTTTCTAGCTTCATATCCTCGGCACGATTATCATTCTGCCTGTGATAAATCTCATTTGCGTTGTCATTCTCGAACCCGTCCAGCGTGTTGAACACAACGCCGTCGCGGTTCCTGATGGTGATCTCTGTCTCATCGAAGGAAACATCATCCGCGCTATCGTAGCATCTCCGATCACGCTGCAACACATCCCCTTTAGCCCTGGAGAAGTTCAAGTTCCTACGATCGAAATTCGCCCCGAAATTATCGTCAAACTTGGGACTCTTCCCGTATATCCTGGTGTCGGAGTCTAGCTCATCGTCTTCCAGCTGTTTCTGTTTAGCTCCCTTCACCTTTACGTAGTTCTTGGTCCTAGGTCTGTCCTCCAGGCTAACTTCGTTCAATCTCTCGCTGGACGAGGATCCAACGTACTTTCTTTCGCTCTCACTACTTGACCCGAAACGCGTCTCCGAACCATCCTTGAACCTCCGGCAACGGTCCTGCGACTCGATCTTATACCCTTTCCCCTCGTCGGAGGACGTCGAGTGACCGGACCTGTAGGTGTCCACATCGTAACGCCTCCTCTCATTCGGGGTCCCGTAGCTGGTCTCGTTGCCGAGCCTGCCGTCGACGCAGTCGAACGAGCCGGACGGGTATCGTTCCGAGCACTCTAGACTATTGTCCTCGAGGAACGCCGGGTTCTCGGTCACGCTCTGAGGGAAGAAGCCCTCGGTCCTGAAGGTGTCCTGCAGCAGCATCTGCTGCGGGAGAAGGGGCTGCACATCCTTCGGCGCTGACTTGGTCGGCGACCGCTCGATCCCCATGTCGTATCTTCGCGTGAAAGGTAAACGAAGACCTCGATTAACGTGAGACGCACGAACCGTGGAAAAATTCGTGCGGAAGTGAATGGGAAAATATACGTTGGTCCGCGGATTGGCTACCTATCGGGGCTTCGAGTGTCTCCCGCGAGTTTTCTCCGGGAGTTTAATGAGGGCCGACCGATCGCTACATCGGGATGTAAATATTATCTTTCCCACGGATCGAGCCACCTCGACGTTCATAAATCATTATGTATTTACGATGTGGGATAGAGCTAGGCGTACACCAACGTCCACGAGTCTAATGGAGAAAATACAACTCGACGCTGAGTGAATTCTTCGCGTATTCAATAAACGGAATCGTTGAAAAGGTTGGAAGAAGTTTCTCTTTACGGTAGTTGTGAAAAAAGGTTCCCGTGAATCTTGGAAGGAGATATTTGCCCCGTCGTAAATCTGGTTCAATTAAATGTTGAAGTTAACTGACAGATCATTTTTATGCACGACGGTACTGTAAGTTGTATGTTGAGTTATTTCGTACATAAGTAGACTTTTAAAAAATCTGTTGAATCTTTAGATTATGTTTTAATTAATATCATGTCAATGTACGTAACTTTAACTTCCAGTCTTTTTCCAGATATAATTATTTATTGCTTCTTAATTTGTCACTTATCTATTGATTTTTTAATTTAAAAGCAATTTCCTCTTTAAAACTAAAAACAGTTTACTTATGCCGCGTACAACTGTAGAAACATTGAAACTCAGGAAAATCATTAAACACCAAATTGTACGTTACAGAGAATATATCATTTATCTAAATCCAATTTCTCGAAATTCGCCTATAAAAATGCGAATTTACTAAAAAATCCGTGCCCTATCGTCATTACTTCAAATGTATAAATTAAAGATCATAACAGTACTAAAACATAACGTTATTTTTAAGTAACAAGTCCTAACACCCCAAAAGATGTTGCACTCAATTATTTCAATAACATTGTCAACGTCACTTACATTTCAAACATCAAAAATCCGTTTTCTTTCTCTTTCTTCACTTCTACAAACTCAACAACAATCAAAATAAATAAACAGAAACCAATAAATTTCACAAATTCTATTTCAACCTCAAAAAAACTCGAATGTCCTTTCCTCCAAGCTAAAAGAATGAAAAACAATCTCTCGACATCTCGAAATCCATCTAAAACAAAACTCGCCAAACGTTTTTCCGGCGAACAAGAATATCGCGGTGAAATAGAATTACGGATTACTCGAGGCCCGTGGGCAGCAGGGTGCGCGCGTTTGCGCGTTCTTCTCGCATTCCTCGTCGGATAGGGGGCCGCGTACCAAAGGAAGATATCCGGGATACGAGGTTCCTCGATATGACACGCGCGGTTTTATGGAAACGTATCGTCTGGTCGAAGAAGCGGCGGTTTTCAATCGTGGCCTGACACTCACCTCCCGTCCTGGCTCTTGAACTTTCCCCCGACGTTCTCGACGTCCTCCATCTCGCCGGCGTCATCCCAGTGATTCGGACTGCCGACCCCGCCGAGCCATCCCTCGACCGTATTCCTGGCTGCCGCCAGGGCGATGTTCCTGGCGGTCTCATCCCTCGCGCACAAAGGCGCTAAAAATCTGCTAACGATCTCGACCTCGTCGCCCTTTGCGGAGCTGTTCGGGTCCCTGTACATCTCGTCTTGTTATATGGACTCGGATATTTCTCTTTTATATTTCTCTATATATTTCTTCGTTTCAACACACTCCTCTTATTCTTGGGTAGTGTCCCTCGCGGTAGCAAGGTTTGCCTGCCGACTGTAATTTAATCGGAACTAGCCGTTATGATACAACGCCAGCGACTCGCGGGAGTCCCTCCCTTGTACCGCTCCCACTCTTCTTCGGGACGCAACGAATAAAACTGAAAAGATCGAAACAAAGTTGATCGTTAGAGAGATTACGTTGGCTGGCCGTAGATCACCCAACAATTTCGCGGCGAAAGAGATAACGACGAATCTCGCGGGCCTGGAGAACCCGATGGTTCGGAGATCGCGATCCGATCAATCGACTGTTACGCACATTCCGGTTTTCGTCTCGTGGGCGGCTCGCGACTCGCGAACAAAGCGAAACAGCGGAAAAAGAGCTAGTCGGTACTATCCCCGTCGTAATTGCGGTCGTTTCGTCGCGTTTCGCCCGTGAGAATCGCTCGTAAAACTCGTTTCTCGAGGATTTTACTGTCGGTGCACCTCGCCGGTCGTTCCGGCCCGATAGAAAGTAGGCTGCGTCGGGTTGTAGGGCGACCGCGTTGCGATCTAGCGGCGTCCACGGATCGAGGAAAAAGAAAGCCAGCTATGGGATTGTGCAGAACGAACGCGGACCTTCGGAAGGAAACGATCGATCGATCGATCGATCGGCAGATTCGGAACTGTACGTTTATCCCTTACGGAAACCGACCGAGCCCGGTGATTTTATGGTTGTTCCTCTCGTGTCTGCACCTGCCCGTGCGTTCTAGCTGCTGGGTCTTGCTGTTGGTCGCGAGTGTTGCTGTTAAATCAACGGCGACGCGTTACATTGTTCATTACATTGTAATGAGAGCGCCTCGCTGGTGAGTCCTCAGGATTCAGTTCCAGTTGGTGCGGGCTGTTCTTGGTTCCGTGTAATTCACCGGCGTCGATTTAATCCATTGGACGTCTGTAAATAAACGGGGTTGGACTGTAAGAATAGCAGGTTTCGGGGAAGCATTAGTGGCGGAGTAAACAAAGGGACTAGGAACAATATTGTGAAATGACAAACTGCGATATTTTCTAGTTTTCAAAGTAAGATTTCAATTTAGAGACTCGGGAAATTGATTTGAAATTTAGAACTATATAGAAATGATCTTTTCTAATCGTTTGTTTGCCGAAAATATGTGAATTCTTCTGCAAGCGGGATTTATGTTTTTGTTAGAAAACAGAGTTTGTTTAAGATGTAAAATGGTAGAGATGACTATTGTTAAAAAGTGTAATTCTTCTTTTTAACTTACTAATACCTATACGCAAAGGAGATCAGAAGAATATTTCCCTCCCAACGTTCGCATAATACACACTTTACTACGTTACTAAAATAAGAAACACAAGGTAATCATTAACTGTATGAAACGGTTAATATTCTTTTTAATAAGAATCACGACAGATTATGTTAGCTGAGATGACTTAGTTCGTGATTGCAATTGCTATTGCCGCCAATAAACTTATTAAGAAATTTATAGCTATCGATCTTCGATTTTTAGTAGGTTATTAAATAACCGCCGTTAAAAATAGCCATAATCGTTTGTAACCTCGGAAAATAGATATAGCCCCAAGGATACTTCAATTTCATAAAAATCTTTTAATATTTCTACTACAGTAATTGTTTTCCAAACTACCAACAGTTCTCTCTCCGATAACAGCCATTTTAACAATTTCTATTTGCAAAGAATATAACCTAAAATGCAAGACAGAAACATTCCCAAACCGTCGCCAAATATAATTCAGCAATATTTTAAAAAAGATCTGTTCGATTTAATCTGTTCGATGCGAGCATAAATCCTCCTTCGATTCCGTTCAATCGTTCCAAACCAGTTGATGATTCTTTTTCAACAGATTTGCCGTTCGCGAAGATACGACCGCGTAAAATCTCGGCGAGGGCAAGGAGGGAACAAAACGGAACGGGCGAGCGCTCCCATTATCGATCACTCCCTTATTGAATTTCCATTCAACCCAGGCTTTAATCGATCAACTTAATATTGCTCGCTGGCAACGTAACCAAAAGCTAATAGGTGAAGCACTACTCCACGGCGTAGCGTGGCGTGGCACGGAATCAGCACGGCGCACCGCGGCGAACGGATTATCGCCGATCGAACATTACGCAACAAACAATTGAAAGTCAGTAACTATGGTCAGGCGTTCTGAACTTTAACGTAATCAGCGCGACGAGCCTCCGGCCACCGATAATTCCAGCTCGAATCCCAATAAATCAATGAAGCGATCTTTGTCGGTCCGTTTCTCCCTCGATCGATACCCCTTCGCGACGCGGACGTCGATCGATCCAGCTTCCGGCAGACCAGGACCGCGAGAAAACAAATTCGATTGTACCGGGTGGCTCGGTCTGGAAATAGAAATGGGCCATTATCGGGCCGCTTACGCAATTAGCCTTACGATGTCAGGCTGCGGCAGTCTTCTCTCTCATTGATTGATCGACCCCCGCGAGAGAAGGCCTAGGTCAAGGCTGCCGGGGTCAGGAAATAAGAGAGGTCGCGTGAACGGTGCAACTTATCGAAGCGGGGAACGCGTTGGAGGAGGTTAACGGGTAGAACGAGAGGGAGGGGGGGGGCTGGGAGAACTGACGAGGGAGAGAGGCTCAGCCATCCAGTATCTTCAAGAGGATAAAACGGGGTGCATTCGCACGCTTGAACGAGGGAGGAAGCATCGATTTCTTTTTCTCGACGTCGCGCTGGATTCTAACCGGTCGTCAAACCGTCGTTTTAACGCTGGAATGACCGAGCAGTCGAATCAAGTGGTTTATTAGTGTAGTAATATTGTAAGGCCGGGGGAACATTTTGTGGAAAATAAACGCCTTTTATCTATGATTTTTAGCATAACTTAGGATATTTTTAACCCCTCGATTTACGATACCGTGTCAGGTTGCTGACGAAAATTATAACAAAATTACCAAACAGATCGAAATAACTCATTCTTGATTTCTTCGTTTTGCAATTATTAAGAAGATAACGGATGTTTCTCTGCGAAATTATTCAAGAAATTGATTTAACAATACGCCAACTGAATTGTAAATCAATTAAAGTCTCAATAGATGCACTCATGGAGTTTCTATAGAAAAATTTCAAAAAGTCAATTTAACTGCTTGGTAGTTTTAGTGTTAAACTGAATTTGAAAATTCTAAGTGTTATTTATTTTTTTTCAACATAACCTAAATACTACTTTTCTACTATCAATCGTTAACCTCATGAGTAGACACAGAATAAGTGTCAACAGTTTTTCTTTCTTTAATAAATTATTAACGATAAAATACTTGTATCGATCATAGTTGAGAAATAAATTATAGGGCAAGGGGTTAAGAAACATGAATGCGAGAATGAATGCGAACGAAGGGTAATAAAAGAGGATAGCCTAACGATCGAAGAAAAGTGCACTGCACAAAGTCACAGGCTCAAGGTTTCCAGATAGGGAGGCTGTGCAGGGAAAGTCGTGCGTTAGTCTTCGTGGCAGTAAGTTATGTGTTGTTTTAGTCGTGTGTCTCTATTATCTAGTTCCTTATATTTAAACATTATTTGTTTTATTATTAATAAAGGTAGTTATTTATTACAGTTTTGTATATTCCTGTACATTATTCCCGATCCGCACATTTATCGAGACTATATATACGATACTAATCAATTAATTGGGTTTAGTGAGACTTTAATGAGTGTTTACGCATAGAAGCTTTTAAAATGCATATATTTGGTTTTTGTAATATTAAATCAACCGTTTCTGTTTATATGAAAGGTACGATAAATCACCTTTCTACGGTTTATTATGCGCGTGAGTTTAAACTGTACGATTGATTAACTCCGAACTTACTCAGCCCTCTTACTCGAACTTACGCAACTATTATAGGCAATTTCGCAAACAGTTTATTTATTACAGCTATTTATTTATTTCACTAATTGAGCGGTAGATTTTAACTGAAAGGTGCACAGCAGAAAAAGGTCAGAAGCCATCCAGCAAGGGATACAAGAACAAATGAAAAGTCGTAGCGGTTTCACAAACATTCTGTAGCGGTCACGATTTAACATCTCAAAACATCGTTCGATCCAAAAAAAGAACGACATACTCGAAACACCTCTTCTCGCGCGAAGAAGTAAATAGGTATTAATAACTACCGCGGAAATATCACAGAAGAACGCAGGGGCACGAGTCTCAGGTGCACAATGACCGGCAACAAGAAACCGTATTAACGTATGTTTGTTTCATTACACCATGGCAATTTCCTCGATAATTAACAGAAAGTCAACGTACTCGGAGTGCCGCGGGCGTTAAGCATTGGTTTGTGCGCGGGCGCACGCGTGGTATAGATTACTATGGAAAATTGAGAATTGTAATGACAACAACGAGAGTTGTTCGGTTGCGTGGAATTAAATAAAACACGCGCGATAAAGGTGAACAACAACGAATGCAAGGAAATAATTGTGGCGTAATGCCGCTGCCGCAATTACGAACTGCCGACACTGCAGCCGGTGCTGTGCACGCTCATGTAAATCTAATCTCCGGCACAGTAAAAATTAATAGACCGTGGGTAGAAAAGTAAC